GCAGGTGCCGGGCCCGGCGGAAGCCGCGCGGCTCGGAGCAGGCCCAGGGTGCACGCCGGGCGCCTCCCAGCCTGCTGCTCGGGCCTGCGTGGGTCTCCGGGGCAGAGACCCCGGCTCGCTTGGGGAGAGGGCTGCGGGACCGCAGGGTCTGTCCGGGGACAGAGGAGGCCTTACGGGCGGGAACCGGGCGCCCGCGGGCCCCGAAGGCTGCGCCCCCCCTCCTGGGCCCCTGCCAGGCTGAGAAGGGGCTCGGGCGGACACAGCGCCCTTGGTGCTGGTGGGCTTGGGGGACCACCGACAGCCAGCGTCCAGCACTGGCGGGAGGCACGTCAGGCGGTGACGGGCACAGAGCCCCCATGCTGGGGGTGGGTGAGCGTCACCAGAGCCCGGCCCTGCTGCCCAGGCTGAAGCTGGACTCCCGCAGAGGGGGGCAGGCCTGTCCCTGGGGGCGCTGGCCATCCCGCTCCATGCGACACGGTGGTTTTGCCCGAGGATTGGCGGGAGTTCTCACGGGAGGTGCGGGGGGATGCTGGGGGGATGCTGTAGGTCGCAGTTGGGGGCAAGTGGCCCGAAGCCACGCCGCAGCCTTCCATGTCCCCGGTCCTTCCCACCATCCAGAGGAGGGGCCGGAAGAGTCTCCCCAAACTCACACCCAGTTTGGTGGGTTGCCCGCCTGAGATGGGCGTGGGGATGGAGGGCGCTGGGGCCCCTGAGCTCTGGCACCCAGGGGTGTGGGGGAGGCAGGCCGCTGCTCAGGCCAGCGGACAGGAGGACGCTCCTGGCGGAACACAGGCGTGTGGAGGTGGGTCCGGGCAGGCTGGGTGCTGAATCGGCTCTTCAGGACCCACATTTATGTGGAAATGTGACCTTTTACAAATATTCTAGAACCTTCCGGAGGTTGACTTGGGTTGATGGTGGGACCTTGTACAAAGATTCTGGAAGCTTCCTTGGGTACATTGGCCACACCTCAGCCTTCTTTCTTACTTGGGTCCTCGTGGCTTCTGCCTTAGCTGCACAGGGAGGGAGGCCCTGGATGGCCTGGGCTGACGCGAGTGGACCTCTGCCGGCCTGGCAGCCAGGGCACCGCCCCGGCTCATGAGGAGTGAGGGTCTTGGCACGGTGCCCGGTTGCTCCCCCCCTCGCTCCCTTCTGTCCAGGCCCAGAATTGGCTCCTTGGACGTGGCCCCCAGCCCTGAGAGGGTCGATGAGTGTTGCCCAGTTTCGGGAGCTGGACCCAGCAGATAGGGCTGGCCCCCTCTGTCGTCTCTGCTGGACCCAGGCAATGGGACGCGTGTGACCCCCTTTCAGCCGTGGTGCAGTCTGCCCGTCTTGAGCCCCTGACAGTCTGGACGCAGGAAGACCCTCTCCTCCACGGGAGCTGCCTGGAGACGGAGCCCACAGGCTCTCGCCACCAAGGGGCACGATGTGCACCTGGCCTCCTCCAGGCAGGCAGCTGGGTTTGGGGGTGACCTTGCCCCAGGATCAGATCGGGTGAGACAACTGGCGCTGTCCTTCCCCAACAGGGCCAAGGGCAGCAGCGCCAGCCAGACAGGCTGCCAGGCAAGGACTGGGCGGGAAACAGTCTCAGAGAAAGGTCTCCCCTGGGACCGAGAGAAACTGGGCCAGCCCCTCCCCCACCCCAAGCTCAGCTCCAGCCGCTGAGAGCCCTCGGGAGTCTGCCCAGTGGCCAGGTCTGAGTCTGCTCAGAGCCCTCGGGGTTTTTGGGGGTGTCTGTGCCGTTGGCCGTGGAGCAGCATGAGGGGGCTGGGCCGGGCCTGAGGCCCCCATCAGGGGTGCAGGGAGTTCTTGAACAGGCGGGCGTGGGCTCCAGTGTGCCTGTGCCGGTCTCTGTCTCTGGGGGGGGCATTGGCAGGTGCTCCCCACTTCCCGTGTCTGTGTCTGCAGAGCTGCTGAGGGTTCAGCTCGGGCCGAGGTGGTCTGCGGGGGGCGGGCTCTGCGCTCGTCCTGACCGTGTGTTGACCGTCAGCTGCTCGCTCCTGCTTGCCCCATCCGAGACGTGGTCTCAGGCTGGCCTGTCTTGGAGGAGGGTCTTGACTGGCCGCACCTCAGGCAGCCCCTGGGGCTCGAACCCGTCTTGAAGGAGGCGGGCAGCCTGCCGTGAGGCGGGTCACTCTGCCACCGCAGGCCTGGTGTGACCTTGGCAGTGACAGTGGGGGAGGGGTGGTGTGGACCAGGGCAGCCAGAGGGTCTGACGCGGAGGCGGGCAGCCCCAGGGACGTCTGCTTCTGGGTGGGACACGTGGGAGCCCCCACCTGGGGCCCGGGCAACAGCCGGGTCCTGTGCTCTGCCCCTGCTCCCAGAAGCACACCCACCCTGGTGCCCCGCCCTCCCTCTCGCTGCAGGGCAGAACCACAGGACAAGCTCTCCCCTGGCCACCTTGTTGCCTGGGGGGCAGCTGGGAAACTTTGCTGTAGGCATCAGGGAGAAGCCCCCCCCCAGCATCCCTGGGCCCCAGGGGGCAGGCCTGGGTGAGGACATGGCGTGGACGCAGATGTCACTGCCCGCAGGGGCTCCCTCTCAGGCACCCCCAAACTCCGCAACCCTCCATGTCCGGGGACGTGCCCCATGGCGCATGCCCTGCCCCCGCCCATGTCCAGCGAGGGGCCCAGCAGAGAGGGGCGGCTTCCGGAGCGACAGCGCTGGCCGCGTGGCCCTGACCCAGACACAGGTGCAGCAGGAGCTGGGCCCGAAAGGGAATCTCGGCTCTTCTCAGGGCGCTTGTGCTCGCGAGGGGCGAGACCGGACTCAGGGCACAGGGTGGGCAGCGGGCGGTGGGGACTGGGCACAAGCGCTCAGCCAGGCCCGCGGGTGAGCGGGGTGATGTAGGAGCTGCCCAGAGACGTTGGCAAGGGGTCAGGGTGGGCGTGTGGCTCAGGGGACCAGGTCAGCGTGTCCGCGCGGGGAGGGATCTTGGCCCGTCCCCGGAGGTGCGCGCCCTGAACACGCGTCTCTCCCCCCTGACCACAGCCACTGTGGGGGCCACGGGGCCACAGTGACCCGGGAAGCATCATGGACACGCCACACAAGCCACGGTAGTCGTGACCCTGATTCTCACCGTGTGGTGTGGTGAGGCTGGGAGCTGCGCCCAGGCACCAACACACGCGGACACTGACACGCAGAGCCAGGGCCCCCACTGCGGGGGAAGGGGGGGCCTCCGCGTCCCCCCCTCGCTTGCCCCCCACAGGCAATGCCAAGCCCCAAACGCCGTCTTGCTGCTGACACAAAGGGCGAGTCGACCCGGGGACCGGCCTCCCCCGTCATCCGGGGTCTGCGCAGCGTCTTTCTGCTCATGCGCTCTGGCCGTGCCCGTTGGTGGCGTGAAGATGGGGCACCCCGTGTCTTAATGAATTCCTTAGCACGGGAACTTCCCTAGCAGCGACGTCGTGGCTGATGACAATGGCCTTTGCTGAATGATACGCGTTTTCCGGTAGGCGAGTAAGGAGATTGTTTGAAGACGCGGAGCTCAATGTTGGCCACTGGTGCGCTTAACACAACACTGCAGCTTCCTCCGAGAACAAGTCTGGGAACGGTGCTGGGGGTCGGGGGGCAACTCTCCTTCCTGCTGGTGGCTGCTGGGCCCCGCGCCCCGGGTTCCTCGCGTGGAAAGGGACTTGCCGGGGTCTCTTCCTCACGCAGAGAGGAGCTGGCCCGAGCGCGGGGCTTCCGGGCTGAGGGTCCGGGGAATGAGGGAAGGAGCGAAACATCGCGATAGTCTTACTGATGCTCGCAGTTGGGGAGGAGGCAAGCCTCGCTCGGGGTTGGGGGTGGGACGTTTGTGGGGCCCCAGGTGCTGAGACTTGCCTGGGGGTGGGGGGTGGGGGGTGGGGCAGGTGCGGGAGCCCTGGGTGGCCGGGACCAGCACCTGGAGGACGGGCGCGCTGGCTGGGCAGCGGCTGTGTCCGAGCCTGCAGCGTGGCCCGGTTCAGTGCCACGGGCGGGTCCTGCCTCTGCCCCGGGCAGATTTCCAAAGATGCCGCTCGAGCGGAAGGAGGCCCAAGGGAGCTTTTGTGGCAGCTGGCGGTGCTGAACCGCCGTGTGGGTAGCAGCCCAGAGAACGCCGGGGGCCCCGGGTCGTTGGCTCCAGCTGCCTGAGCCGCCCCTCCGCGTCCCGGACTTCCTCTCCGAGGCCCAACTCTGGGGCTCGTGATTTCCCCTCCTGGCAACGTGGCCACGAGCCCGCCAGGCTCGCCTTGACGGAAGCGCCACAGACGTGTGGTTGTCCCCGTGTCCCAGCGGGGTTCTGGGCTGTGGGCATCTGGGCTGCGTTGGGCTCACTCGGACCCAGGTGCCTCCCCAGAGGGACATGGACGTCCTGAGCCCAGGAGAGCTGTGGGAAGCTGTGGGAAGGGGGGGCCGCAGCCCCCGATATGCAGAGCAAGGGTCTAGCACAGCTGGCCCGGGGCCGGTGAGTGTCCCGCCCCCGAGGCCTCCGGCTCCCGTGCTGTGCGACTGCTTCCGGCTGCTCTGCCGCCCCGGGGGGGTCCGGGCCACTGAGGCAGCCTGTACTCAGCCCACCCACAGGTCTGAGGCCACCGACCGCACGTAAAGAGCGAGTGATGCCCCAGTGAAAGAGTCGCGGTGTGCGGCCCCCGCAGAACCCAAATGTTGCACGGACGCACCAGTGCAGGGGCCGTGCTCGCCCACGCTGAATGCCGCCACCCGCCTTTCCCCGTCCACCCAACCTGCCATGCCCCACCCCGCTGGGCAGAGCCCGGGCCGGGTCAGCGGCTGCTCTCCGAGGAAGAAGCTTCGGGGATGGCCCTGTGGGTGAGTCACTTCCCACCGGGCCCTGGAGGGCGAGGAGTAAACACGGTCCGGTCCGTCGTCTCGCCGGAGAGGGTTCGAGGAGGGAGGGTGTTTGTTTTCAGAATCCCAGTTCCTCAATCCGGGAGGTATTTTTGTGCGATGTAAAGAAAGTCGTCCCAGACTAAATAAAGGAAGCGTGATTTCATGCCTCTGGAGCAGGCGTGGGAACTCACTTCCTCGGCCCCAGCTCGATTTGCACCAAGAATTTTCATCCCCTGCTTGTCGGTGAACTTGGCCGGCGGCCGGAGTGTGGGGGGTTGACCAGCGTCGGCCAGCTGGGGACCCTAGCGGCCGTCAGACAAGAGGCAAAGGGCCGGCACCATCGAGGGGCCGAGGACAGTGTCTCGGCAGCCAAGCGGTGTCAGGGATTCCCCGTCGGTCTACTCGATGCCGCAGCCGCTTCTGCTCCTGAGTCTGTGGCCTGCCCCCCCCCCCCCCCCCCGCCCTGCCCCCGGCCCCGTGTGTCTCTGCGGGAACAAGGGTCAGAGAACAGGAGAGGCTGCGGTGCCCCCCTCGCACCCGGACCCGGGCCGGATGGAGAGCGGGAGGGCGGGAAGGGCAGGAGCCCCGGGGCAGAGAGAGGAACCCGGGGAGTCCGCCCAAGGAGGCCTCGCAGCAGAACCCGCACGCTGGGGGCTGGCCCCACGGGGGCCGGTGGGCCCAGCCTTGTGGGGTGCAGCCAAGATGGGAGACGCCCCCAGGTCCCAGGGCGGGGAGGCTCGGGGCCCCGACAGTGGCCTGGTGGCCTCTTGCGGTCACCGACCCAGCACGTGGCTCTGTCAGCTGTGGTGGGGGAGGAGTCACGGGCACAGGGTGGGTCCCCGTGGGCGCGCGGGGCCCTTCAGCCTCCGCCCCGTGTCACAGTGCCTGCCCCTCGCTGAGGGAGGTGGCCTGGTGCCGCGCATGCAGGTGAGCGGCAGGTGCTCTGAGGTGGGCCAGGCGTGGAGAGGGGGCAGGTGGGTCACGGGCGCCTCTGGGCGCTGCTCTTGGGGCTTCTCGCAGCAGGGGCAGCGGGTACCCCGTGAGAGCTGTGCTGCCCTGCGCGGGGGTGGGCACCGGGGAGCAGGCGTCTCCACAGGGCCTGGCAACCCGGGAGAGAAGCGGGGACGGAGGAAGAGGTTCCAGACGGGCTGGGGAGGGGCTGACACTTGCACAGAGCAGGGGCTGCCGCGGGGGGAGCGGGGAGCCGGGCCAGGGTGGCGGCAGGGGATGAATGGCTCCATGTATGACCCGGGGCACTCGAACCAGGAGGCCGGCCTAGCAGTCACAGATGAGCACTGGGCAAGGAGTTATGGACGAGCCCAAGGCAGAGTCAAGGATAGACACTGGCTCTGCTCGGGGCTGACTCCCGGCTCTGTGCTCGGGGCTGACTCCACAGCAGTGTGAGGTAGGTGTGAATGATCCTGGCACACAGGCCCACTGAGGGCGACGGAGGCGACCACGGGCGAGTGGGACATATCGGCCAGCAGGTGCCCAGCCCAGGCTGCGCTGCCGGTCACTCTCCCCAGCCCCCCAGGATGGGACTTTCCTCCACAGCCTCCCGGCCAGGCGATAGGCCAGGGACAGCCCATGAGACAGTCCCCTGGACCCGCCTCCAGAAGGGCGCCGGAAAGAATGAAAGAGTGTCGGAGCGCTCTGGATCACAACGGGATTAAGGGAACTGCCAATTAAAGGCGATTTGTGATCCTTAATTGATCCTGGAATTTTCCTGAATTAAAAAATAAAACAGGGCCGAAACGATAGTACAGCAGGGAGGGCACTGGCCTGGGCTCCATCCCCTGCACCCCAAAGTCCTCCCGAACCTACCAGGAGTGAGCCCTGAGCACAGAGCCAGGAGTGAGCCCTGAGCACAAAGTTGGGAGTCATCCCTGGGCACAGAGCCAGGAGTCATCCCTGAGCACAGAGCTGGGAGTCAGCCCTGAGCAGAGTCGGGAGTCAGCCCTGAGCACAGAGCTGGGAGTGAGCACAGAGCCAGGAGTGAGCCCTGAGAAAAGCTGGGAGTGGCCCAAAACTCAGTGAATAACCGGCCAAGGGCAAGCAGGGCCCGCGAGGTGGCCTCTGCCAGGTCGGGAGGCTCCCAGGTGTGAGCTGATGCTGGGGAAGGGGAGCGGGGCCGGGAGTGGGGGTGGCCGGGAGGTGCGTGCGGCACAGTAGCAGGGAGGGGCCCCCGGCCACGGGGCTCAGCGGCTTCAGTGTGAGCGCGTGGACCAGACTGCGAGGCTCCGAGTGACGCCAGACCCCGTGCGGGCTCCTTACGGCGTCCCGGTGCTCCAGCTTCCAAGTACAACGACAGCAGAAGTCGGGGCAGACACCGTGTGCCGGGGGTCTGTGTGGGTCCCTGCAGTGTGCACATACACGCACACACATGCGCACATGTGCACACACGCATGCACACTTGGCTGTCTGATGCCGTGCCCACTCCTTCACGAAGACGCCCCCAGAACAGCCCTCCGGAGACAAAGCCGCCGTCCCTGCGCCAGTGCGAGAAAGGGGCGTCCGTGAGGCGGCGTCCCTGCAGGGCGGGGGAGAACGCCTCCAGGCTCCAAATGACGAACTCCGCCGAGGCTGACCGGAAGTGTTGGGTTACCCACAGAACAGATGTGTGCGGGGGAACTGTTGAGCCCACATGGGCCAGGAGCTGCTCTTCCTGGGTCAGCGTCCTGCCCAGAGCCCCAAAGCTCCGGTACGAGCACACACAGGGCCGCAGCCTCTGTCCCAGGGACTGACCCTACCAGGCACCCCCCCACCCCGCCCCGGAAAGCAGGACCCCACGGACTACACCAAACTCAGTGAAGCACCTGTCTGCAGGGCCCCAGACCTCTGTCCCTCGAGACCGCGGGGTACCGTGGGCTGGGGCGGGGGCAGGCACCCGGCACCCACAGCCCGGCGGGTGCAGGTTCAAAGCCGCCCCGGCAGGGGTCTCAGAGACCTGCAGAGAAAGGCAATGAGCAGGTCGGGAGAATTCCTGAGACCAAGTTCCCAGGGAACAAGCTCCTGCCAGTCCAGCAGCTCCCAGGGTGCCGTGAGTGGCGCCCAAGCCTGGCCCGGCTCCCTGGGCTGGAGGGAAGAGCGAACACACAGGGAGAGGGGAGAACACGGCCTGCAAGCTGGGGAGCAAGTGTTTACCCGAGTAAGGGAGACCGAGGGGCCAGAAAGGAGACTCGCGGGCCGCGGACGCTGCAGGAGAGCGGGCAAGACAGAAACGCAGCCGGAGAGGCCACGGGAGGGGACCCGGGGCAGGGACAACCGCCTGAGGGAGCCTGATGCCCAGGCTGGCCCAGAGCCCCGGCCCCTCGTAGCGGCTAAGCCGGTGGGACACAGAGGCCACGGCTGGACCTCCGGCCTGGGAGGACAGCAGCCCACGCGCCAGGCAAGACGGGCTGCCACCAGGAAGCAGGACACATGGACAGAACTCGGACTCCCGGAACTCAGGACGAGACGAAGCGTCCAGCAGCCGGAGAGTGGAGGCAGCCGAGATGGAGCCGGCGGGGACGGCGGGCTCAGCCCCTGGGCCCAGGCAGCCGCCGCCCCGCCCCGTCTGTTGCTGGCGGAGGCCGGGGTGAGAGATTTTTCCCGCTTTTTCCCTGAAGGAGCGGCAGCGAGTTGCCAGCTAGCACCAGCGGCCACCCTGGCCTGCCCGCGGCCGGTCCCGCAGCCCCAGGGTGGCTCTCTCCGTCCAGCACTGGGGGAGCGGAATCCCCCCAGAGCTGCTTCTTGCCCCTGGTTGATTTCCTTGTCCCTTTGCACGTCCTTCGAGACAGAGCCCGCGTGACCCTCAAGGACACGAGCACACACACAGTGTAAGGTGTGTCCCGGTCCTGTGAGGTGAGCTGAGTCCAGCAGCAGCTCCCAGAGGACGAACCCAAACGGCGACTCAGCCGGAGAGGCAGTGCGGGGTTGGAGGCTGCCCTCGCTCAGGCCCGCCCCGCCCAGCCCCGGGCCCGCAGGGTCAGCCTGGAGCACAGAGCTGGGAGTGAGTGTGGAGTACAACACTCGTGACCGGAACCGAAAGAAAGCACATTCGGGGCAGCCAGAGAGAGAGAGAGCGGGAGTGACCACTGGCCTGGCACTGGCTGGCACCCATTGCCTTCTAGCACCCAAGGGTGCCTGGAGCCCAGCCAGGAGTGACACTGGGGCCCAGCCAGGAGTGACACTGGGGCCCAGCCAGGAGTGACCCCAGGGCTCAGCCAGGAGTGACCCCAGGGCCCAGCCAAGAGTGACCCCGGGGCCCACCCAGGAGTGACCCTGAGCACCACCCCAAGTGTTCTTATCCCCACCCCTGAAATAGTGAGTCCTTGGGCCCGGGGATATGATGTGTCTTTTTATTTACTCGAGACCCTTTTATGCATCAGTAAAATTTAATACTTGTCTCATGTGACTGTGACAGAAATCCTGGCTGACTATTCATGGGTGTTTAGCATTTTGGCACCTTTGTAATTAATGTGCATTCAATTTTCATTTCTGTTTGCTGCTGGTAGAGAGCGACAGAATTAATTTTGTGTTAATATTTTTTCTTGGTACCTTAATAAACTTTTAAAAAACATCTTCTGGGAATTCCACTCACAATTGTTGACATTTTTTTGCTTTCCAATCTTGTATATTACTTCTTTTCATGTTAATTGTTTCTGCTACATGATAATTTCCTATCTTTATTTCATTAATCCTTGAATATATATAATGTCTCATAATTCAACTGAATTTTGGCTGAGTTTGACATCTTTTGATAGCACGTGCGTGCTCTTTCATTTCCATCTCCTTTTCTGATTTGAGATTTTATTTGAGAAATTGTGCTGCCCGAGAGCCCATGGGCAGACCCGCGTTTCGGGGGCTCCACCCACGCCCTGAAACCTCGGCCCCTTTCAGCAGGCGGAAGCCAGATGGTTTCTCGGCCCTGACCCCGTGGGGAGGGGCACGTGGCAAGGGGGGCTGGGGGAGACGGGGGTGCCCTGGAGAAAGGGCATCAAGGGGGTGCTCTCTCCTCCTTCCTTCTCTCTCTCCCTCTTTCTCCCTCTCCCTCCCTCTGTCTCACCCTTTCTCTTTCTCCCTCTCTTTCCTTCTCTCTCCCTCTCTCTCCTTCTCCCTCCCCCTCCCTCTCTCCCTGCATGTGATGGTCTGTCCTTCCTGCTGTCCAGGGACAACCTCCCAGCTCTTCTCCCAGGGACGCCGCTGCCTAGAGGCAGACCCCCACCCCCCGGCAGGGTGGGGGGAACGGGGCAGGAAAGAAGCGGGAAAATGACCCCCATGGGCCCAGTGGGGAAAGACCTTGTGCGAGAGGCGTGGACAGCGGGACCAGTCAGTGGCCGAAGCCATAGGTCGTTTCAGCAAAGGACTGACTCTGTCTGTCTGTCTGTCTGTCAGCAGACGTCCTTCTCTCCCCCGAGACCCGTCTCAGCCCTGGAGAGGGAACTCGCTCCTGGCCCAATTTGGCCCTGTATGTGAGTCTCACCCTCTGCACGGTGCCCGGGTTGCGGGAAGCGGGGCATGTCCATGGCGTGGCCTTCCGCTGTGTGGCCCAAATGGTCCACTGCATGCGTCCCGGCTTTCACGGCTCCTTGAGGCCCGTTGCTGTGTCTCGGGGGGACCCAGGGGCCTCACCCAGCCCTCCCTCACCCCAGCTGAGCGCCTCCTGCCGCCTGGAACAAGCAACCAGGACACCTGGAAGTGGTCTGGGTATGTCTCTGGACACGGGGGCACAGCACTGCAAAGGGCCTCGCTGGCCAGAGCCTCAGGCAGGCCTGTGGCCTGGGCCCAGCAGCAGGAGGCCTGTGGGTGTGCAGGGCAGGTCCCTGGGGCCACGCTGGGAGTTGTTGGCCGGTCCCTCCAGGTCACGGCAGCTCCGGAAGGAGACTCTTCTGCGGGACGCCTGTCCCTCCTCGTCCCGCCCAAGGCCTCCTGGTTCCCTCCTCGGGATGGTTTCCGTGAGAATGTTCTGGAAGTCAGGCCACCAGATGCACGTGTGTGTCCCTGGACACTGTCCAGGCCTTTTGGGGGATGCTCCAGGGTGCACGAGCACCCCTGGGTGCTCAGAGACTTGAGGGCTGGTCCTGGACACACGGTGTGGCCTCTGCCAGGGTGCGGGGTCGCTGTACGGGTGGGGTTAGGCACGTGCCTTGCATGTGACCAGCCCTGGCGTGGTCCCCAGCACTCCACAGGCCCCAATCCTGCAAGGGTCACTGGTCACAGAGCCAGGAGCAGCCCCTGGGTGCCACCCTGTGTGGCCCGTTCCCCACCTCGACCCGATGAGGCTGCTTCAGTGAGACGGTGGAGCTTAAAACGGTTCCATCGAGAATCGTATCTGGGGCAGGGGCTGGCCCAGAGGGACCTGCACGGTGTGTCCCCAAAGTGTGGTTCTCAGGCGCTGCTGAGTGTGGCTCCTGACCCAGAGACAGAGATAGAGGGAGAACCCCTCGCGCAGTGCGGGAGAAACAGCCGCTGCCCTCGGATAGCGGGAGAACCCCTCCAGGGTGAGGGAGAAACATGACACCCTCCCCTCCTCTGGCCACAAGTGGCCCCGGCACCCGCGCACCGAGGCTGCCGTGGTCACGTCAGTCGCTCCCAAACCACCTGATGCCAAGGTTGACTCAGCCGCATCCTGGGGAAGAAACAGCTGCTTCCCAAGGGAGGGACCGGGCAGCCGGGCCGGGGGCGTGTGGGAACGGCCACACGCGGATGCACCCAGGCCCAGCCCTCGGGACCCTGAGCCCGTATCCCTTCCCCCGGGATGGGAGCCCCGGGCCATGGTCGGTCCAGCTCCCCTGGGCATCTGGGTGGGTGGAGGGACGGTTCCAATGTATCCCGGAAGGCGGGTCCCCAGGTGCACCCGCTCAGACTTGGGTGACTCCACCTGCGGGCGGCCCCGAGGCTGCCAGTTGTCCCTGCAGAGACCCTGGCTGTGCTGAGGACCTCACTGTCCTCACAGAGCTCCTGGCTGTCCCTGCAAAGACCCCAGCTGTGCTGAGGACCCCGGTTTCTGTGGATCTTTTCTGTCACCTCCCAGGGGGTCTCTGTCCCTGCTGGGCTGGGGTAGGAGTCCATGCTCGGCGCTGGGGGGTCGGAGCCCAGTTTGGAGCTGGTGGGTGGGGGCAGAACTCAGGGCCCATCCAGCCCCTCCTCAGCCCGGCCCACTCCTGCCCTGTGGGGTGCCCCTGCCCGGGCCCCTTCAGGAGTTGGTGTCCCTGGGGGACCAGCTTGGACATCTCTCCACGAGGCACAGCTGCCAGACGCCAGGACTTGTCTGGCGTGGCCATGGCGTGGCCACCTGTGGACAGCCTTGCTGCCTGGGCGCCGTGTCAGCCCCCGGAGGAGGGTTCAGGCTGGAGCAGCGTCGGGGCCGCCTGGGCGGGGGGCTGCATCCTGGCTGGGGTCTGGGCCCGAACCCGTCCTGGCAAAGCATGGGCTGGCCGTGCACTGTCCCAGTGTTTGGGCCCGGCTCCCTCATGGACCAGGAAGAAGGTGGACGATGAATTTCAAGCGTAGGCAAGAAATATCCACTGAAGAACAGGCGACAGGAGGGTCCCCCGTGGGCACCGGTCAGTGCCTGCTGCTTCCTGGCCGAGGCCGGGGACATGCTTGGACCCTGACCTGGCAGTGGAGTTGGTCATCTCCGTGTCCGATGCTGCCCTTCACGTCCAATCCAGCCCTCCTGGCCAGGGAGCCACCCCCCACCCCGGGGGGCTGGGGTGGGCGCCAGCTGGGCCAGCCCACGCTTCCCACCCAGCCTCTGTCCCCGCCCGCCTGGGAGCGGCTGGCTCTGGGGTAGCCTGGCACCCTACCAAGGAGCTAATTGCCGGGAGGTCACCATGGCAACAGTCTTCCCTGCGCCTGAGCAGTGTTGGCCAGTTACCCAGACGTGACCCCCGGGAAGGCGCCCTGGACCCCGTCCATCGCCAGAGCTGTGGCGCTTTGTCCCGGCACTGGCTCCGGCTGTGTGGGAGGAGGCCGTGGTCAGCAGGGCTGCCCGGTTCCCCCCGTTGCCCCGTGCTCGGCCCCGTCCTCCTCACTCTCCCGCGCCTGTTCGCGGGCTTCACGCCTCCTGATGGGGGCCTGGCCCGCGCGGGGCTGGGTGCTGGGGAGGCTGGCCCCGTGGGAGCAAAGACCCCGGGGGCACGGCAGGACCCGGCTGAGGGCAGGAGGCAGGAGGGGCTCCTGGGTGGCTGCTGGACCGGGAAAGGCCGCCCTACCCTAGTGCGTCTGCTCACACGTGGCCTGAGAACGTGGGAGCGGAAGGTGTGTCTGGGTGGTGCGTGGAGCGGAAGGGCCGTGGCTGGGTGACGTGGCGTGGAAGGGCCCCGTGTCTGCCCCCAGTTTCCAGGCCCCTCCGGGGATGTGGTGTGGAGGCTGCCATGAGCTTTGCCCCATTGTGGGGTTTCCGTGCTGACCCCCTTGGGCAGCTGGAGCCAAGCCAGTGTCCCTCTGCCGTGCTCAGGCTTGCGCCGCGGGTGGCTGGGGAGGCAACGTGGCGGGGCGGGGGGTCTCCTCCTCGTGCCGGCCCCGGCCCTGGGCGCTCCAGAGAGCTATTTCCGAGGGTCCCTCGCCACGGGGCTGCCCCGGCCCTGGGCACGCTGACCCTCTCCCGGCGTCTGTCCGAGTGGGCCTGGGAGGGTGTCGGGCTGCAGGAGCTCGGGGCGAGTGGCCACTTCCTGTTTGTGCTCGTAAGGGCGGCGGGTTCCTGGGCTGCTGACCGGGGGCCTCGAGGGCAGGGGCAAGAGGCCAGGGGCCGTGGCCGGAAGAAGCAGGGGCAGTGGGCGCGCTTGGCGGCTGGGCAGTTTCCCTCCCTGGGCCTTTGCACTGGCCGACACCGACCCTGGCTCTCTGCTGGGTACTCTCGGGTTTGCTTTCCTGGAACACGGGGGAGTGGGCTCAGCCTGGGGGCAGCCGCGGGTGAGTGGGCTGTGGGCTGTGCGGGTGGGTGCTCTGACCACGCTCGCTGGCCGCTGGCCGCTCCAGAGGTGTGAATGGCTTCCAGCGGCCGTGACAGATGAGGTGCTTAGGAACCCACCTGGACTTTTCTCGACCCTTCTCGGTCTCTCGGGCACGGCTGGTCGCGGGAGTTGGGGCTCGGACCGCTGAGGCTCCCCATGGCGGTGGCCGTGCTCACGTCCGTGTTTCGGGTTAGTAAGGGGGTGTCGAGCCAGCCCAGCGCGGCCTCAGTGTACCCCTCTGCGGTTGAATGGCTCGGCCTGTCCGTACCTATTGCCACCCGCCCGGGCCTCTGCCGCTCTTCAGAGGGATCGCCGGGTTCTTCCCAGGGGCTCGGCCCGCACCCTCCTAGCTTTCTGGCTCACAGGCCTGATGACTTTAAATATCGTTTCAGCTTTCCGGAGTCCAGAGGCTCGCGGAAGGAGCAAGACGCTTTCTCTCTTCAAACCTGAGACCTCACTTCCCCAGACTGGCTCTGGGGACCGTTCTGGGGTTCGTGATGGTTTTCCAGAGGAAAAGCCTTTTGTCTGAAAGAAGGAAGGAGAGGAAGGGAAAGAAAGGAAGGAGCGAGGAGGGGAAAGGGGGAGGGAGGGAGGGAGGAGGGAGAGAGAAGAAAGCGGGAGGAGAGGAGAGGCGGGACGAGGGGAGAGGCGTGAGCCGGGCTCTCGCAGCCCGCTGGGCCGGCCAGCTGCCCTCCCCGCGCCGGTCCACGGCCCCCGGTGACCCCAGCCGCTGCTGGGTGGATGGGGACCACCTGGCTTTGCTCCAGCCTCGCGGAAAAGTGCTCAGCCTGGAGAGGGTCGGCTGCAAGTTCCCTTGTCTTGCTTTTATTGCTACCTCCCTTGGGTCAGGTCGGGGGCCAGCGGCCATGCAGGGAGGCTGGTGCTGCCTCGGTAGTTTCCCTGCGCTTATTCGGCGAGGGGAGGTTCTTTTCTTCTCGTCTGAGTTTGGCCAGTCACGTCGTCCTGCCATTGCGTCTTGCTGTCGACTGGCCTGACGGTTCTTGGACGAGTCGTCTGGCCACGGCGCCTGATCACACCCGGACTCGGCGACTGTGCGAGAAACTTCGCGTTTCTGCAGTGCCTCCTCTTAGTCACCCTCCTCCTCCTCCTCCTCCTCCTCCTCCTCCTCCTCCTCCTCCTCCTCCTCCTCCTCCTCCTCCTCCTCTTCTGGGGGTTCTTGGGGCCGACTCCCAACTCTGAGCTCCGGGGTGACTCCTGGCAGGCTCAGGGGAGCAGGCGTGGCGCTGGGCCAGGCTGGGTGGCTGCGGCAGGCGGCCCTCGCCTTCCCCTCTTCGGCCCTCTCGCCCCTTTGTGTCCTTGGCGATAGTCCTGCCCCGTGCCGGGACGGGCCCGAAGGTCTCACACTCTCAGCGAGCAGCGTCCTCCTTCTCCAGGCTCCCGGGACGCCTCAGCTGCCCAGGACCGGCTGTCGTGGACCTCGGCATCCCTGTCCCTCTCCCGGGAAGGACCTTCCTGGGGCTGCTCCCCAGCGAGGCTCTGGAGGCCTCGGGTGCTGTTCCCGGGGACACTCAGCTGAGCAGGCCTGGGACTTGGGGGCTGTAGAGCACACGTGGAGGCGCTGGGGTGCCGGTCAGGCCGCTGGACAGGGCATCGGCACAGATTCGTCCCTTCAGTATAGGTCAGGCCGTGCCCACGACTTCCTTCTGCCTGAGTCTGACAGTTCCTGTCTTCCCGGGAACTGGGATGTCTCACCGGAGCTCAGAGTCACCCTGTGAATCCCCTTCATGGGGTGTAGCCCCTCTAAATCCCCTCCAGAGGGGGTGGGGGTAGCCCCTCCAAGTCCCCTCATGGGGTGGGGAGCGTGGAGGTTCCTGTTCTCTGCACGCTTGCCGGTGGCCCGTTTCTCGGGGGTGGAGCCTCTCTGTCCCGAGCTTCTGGGGGTCCGGCTTCTGGTTCTCTTCGTCGTTCTCGCGGTCCTGTGGCATCGCGGATGTCCTGCACCCATCACTTACGCCTCCCGCTACTTCCAGGGACGTTGACATCCATCACTCATCTCCGAGCAGGAGCTGACGTCGGCTTTCCCGCACGCTGTCCTGTCCCCAGCTGGCCTGTGGGCACCTTCCACGCCCCGCCCGGGCCCTGCCAGTGCCTGTCCGGGTGTGGGGCCCCCGAATTTGGCTCTTCACGTTTCCTGCTGCCTTCTCCCTGCGCTGAAGGTGGGCTTTCCGGGTCTGCCCCTGGGGTTTCGGGGGGAGGGGCGCGTGTCCCTTGGCCACGTCAGGGTCAGCGGCTGGGCACGAGGGGGGGCGGCCTGGTCTGTCCCCTCGCCCGGCTGGCTCCGGCCTGCTTGGCATGTCAATTTCTACAGGGACGCGTCGACGTCTCCAGCTATAATTATAGATTTTTCTGTCTCTTTTCATATCGATCAGGCTTTTGCCGTAAGTTTTTGAAGCTTGGTGCTGGTTGCATACATATTTACAGGCGCTATCTTTTGATCGTCAGGCCCTCGCTCCTCCTCTCTGACGACGGTCCTGGCTGCCAGCTCGGGGAGCGATTTCCACGTCTGTGGGTTTCTCTCTGCCTGGCACGTCACCCTCGCCTCCTCTTCCACCGCAGCTATGCTATTAATTTTAAATGCGCTTCTCGACAGCTTAGCCGAGGCTTCCTTTTGAAAATACCCGATCGGAAAATGCATTTTTGAGACTGTTGTATTTAATCCATTCATGTTTAAAATGATTATTGACGAATGGCGTTAAAAGCCACCATTTTAGAGATGTTTTTAATTTGCTCTCTTTATTTTCCTCTCTGCTTCTTCGTAGGCTTAACTGATCATTCTGTGATTCCACTTTTATTGTTAATTATTTGCACCTCTTATTTAAGGAAATATGTTTGCTCTAGAATTTACGGCACGCACCTTAGCGAGGCCAAGTTTGACATACCCAGCGACGCAGGGCTGGCGTGGTGGGTGGGGGACGTGGGTGGCGGCGTTGGTGGTGAGTGGGGGATGTAACTTGATCCTAACCCCGTGCCCCCCCACCCCCCGCTTGCCCTCTTCCTCTCTTTTGCGTCTGTGCCCCAAGGAGGGGGTCTGGCCCCTCATCCTGTGAGCACACGTGGGAGGGACCTTGCCCGTAGCTGGGCGGAGCAACGTGCTGGGAGCTTCAGACTGGATTTGGGGGTGTGGGGGAGGTGAGCCATGCCTGGCTGTGCTCAGGGCTGACTCCCGGCTCTGTGCTCGGGGCTGACTCCGGCTCTGTGCTCGGGGCTGACTCCCGGCTCTGTGCTCGGGGCTCACTCCCAGTTTTGTGCTCAGGGCTGACTCCCAGCTCTGTGCTCGGGGCTCACTCCCAGTTTTGTGCTCAGGGCTGACTCCCGGCTCTGTGCTTAGGGCTCACTCCCGGCTCTGTGCTTGGGACTGACTCCCGGCTCTGTGCTCGGGGCTCCCTCTTGGTGGGGCTCGGGGACCATATGTGGCCTGGGGTGGCTGTGAGCTAGGCCAGCGCCTCCCACCTCTCTCTGGGAAGCAGGAGCTTCCCCCTCGCGGAGTGCCCGCCTCTGGCCCGGTTGTTTTTTTCCTGCAGCGCCGTGACCCAGTTCTCTGAGGAGTCTGCCTGCAGAACCGCGTCCTGCTCGCCGTGGGGGTGGGCGGGCGTCCCTGTCTCCCTTCCCTGAGTGAGGCTCCGATTCTGGTCGCCGGCCCCGTCCCCGAGCAGGAGACCCACAGGGCGACCCTCGCACCCGCCCCAGCCTCTGTTCCCCGCCCACAGGGCTCTGGCGTCCCTGTGCGGGCCTCACACTCCCGCCACCCGGCAGGAAGCCACCAGGCCAGCCTCGTGCCCCGGGTATTCTAGGAAGGGCACTGCCTGGTGAGCGACCTCCCTGTGGTGGCTCCACCCAGGGGGTCTCGTCCGCAAGACGCGCCGTGTTCCCGACGGCTCGGGTGGGAGTCTGCAGAGTGAGTGCTCCCTCGCCCCAGACGGCTGCCAGCTGCCCCTGGCCTCTGCCCAGTGCTCCGGCCACCCCTCAGACTCGACGCACCAAACCTGGGCCTGGCCGTGACCGTGTCCGTCTCCATCGCAGGGAGCAGCTCTTGTGCCTCAGTTTCCCTGCGGCAGCCCTAAGCTTCTGCCAGCTCTTCCGACGGGGGGTCCTGCTTCGGCTCCCACCTCCATGTCAAGGTGGGGTCCCCGGGGCCACTGTCTCCCGCTGCCGTCTCGCGGCCCGCCCTGCAGTTCGTTCTTGGCAGAGCCGTCTGCCTGCGCTGCAGGAGGCGCCACGAGAGGCCGGAGAGAAGCGAGACGTGAGAGCGCGAGCGGGCTGGGCGGCCACTTCAGAGAGGAACGGCGCGTCCCCCAGCTGCCCACCGCTGCCCTGCTACGCACAGGTCAGCAGGTGGCCGTGCCCCGCCGGGCGTGGGAGGACAGAGAGGCCCAGGGGAGGGTCGGCGCGGGAACCGCGGCCCAGAGCCCCTTCCCAGCGAGGGCCGGCCGGCTTCCTCACCCTCAAAGCACCAGTTGGCGAGGGCTGACTTGGACGGGCGCTGGAGCCCAAGGGGGGCTCAGGGGTCCCCGCCGCGGAGGGGACAGTGCCCACAGGGGCCACGAGCCTGAGCTCAGGCCTAGGCGACATCCGCTGAGGAGGCCAGTCACAGAGATGGCCACACCGGCCACCAGGCAGCACTGAGAGAGCCAGGCTGGCGCAGGACGCCCTGGACCCGGGTACAGACGGTGCCAGGCGGGGCCACCGTGAGGCCAGCATCCTATCCACACTTCCCAGGCCCAGCTGCAGGCAGGGGAGCCGCGGCGGGCGCCCGGGCTTAGCTGCCCATTGGCCAGGAGGAGCAGAGCCACGGGTCACTGACGAGAGGCTACGAGACAGGGAGTGCCCGGGGTCTACCCAGTGGCAGTGACCCTCCTTGGGGGCTGCGAGTGGGCGCCATGGCGAGGCCTCTGGGCCCCGTTTGTGTCTGTAAAGTGGGGTTAAGAGGGAAGCTGGGCATGGGCGCTGGGCACCGAGGGGGTCTGGCGCTGGGAGTGGACACTGGGCACGAACACTGGGAGTGGACATGGGGCACAGACGCTGGGAGTGGACACCGGGCACGGACGCTGGGAGTGGACACGGGGCACGGATGCTGGGAGTGGACACCGGGCACGGACGCTGGGAGTGGACACGGGGCACGGATGCTGGGAGTGGACAC